CGACTCCATCGGCCTCATCGGCCTCATCGGCTCCATCGGCTTCATCGGCCTCATCGGCCTCATCGGCTCCAGCGGCTCCATCGGCATGTCTTTCTGGGAAGCCTATTACATATGTTCTGAAGCCTGAAGCATGCGGAATCAGTTGCGTCCATTTTGCGCCTGTGGTTTGCTTCGCTGCCTTTTGATTAGTATTGATCCATAGCCTCTTGGCTTGCGATATAGCCTCCAAGTGTCGAACGTACGGGTAAATCACCATTAAACACCATCAAAAATCACCATTAATCACCATGAGTTTTTACCACAAATCACTGCAATTCTAGTTTGAATTGGTGGCTATTAATCACCATTAATTCACCATTAATCACCATTAATTCACCACTAATCACCATTAATTCACCATTAATCACCATTAATTCACCATTGATCACTCCATTAATTAATCACCATTAATCACTGAAAAAGCCAGACTCAGTTGGATGATCCCCCCTAGTTGCTCAGTTGGATCAACTTGGCGTCCAGTCGCGTCTGCTGCGAGTCGGCGGCGGAAAAATTGTGATTTGCGCGCGCTTAAGTTCGGTTGGATCGCTGGTTGGATCCCCCAACAAAAACCAGAGGAAAACCAGGAAATTGATGATTTTCCATTTTGTGGGATTAATGGATTATAGTGGTTTAATGGATTTTAATGGATTTTCATGGATTTTTCCATTCAGTTGGGAATGTCATAATCCCAACTGACTTTCACTCCATCATTTTTCAGAGGGGTTTTTGTCAACCACCAACCGCCGAGAAGGAAAACCAAAGGAAATCCATGGGACAACCCTGGGAAACTTCGGATTTGGAGCTGATGATGATAGTTAACTGGGGTCTACGGCAGTTTTTTTTTTGACGAACTGGTTAGATGAGATTTATCTATTTCAAATTATAACATATTATAACTTGGGGGCTCTACATTGTAGGAACTAGCAGTTTTGAGTTTCCCCACCCGCATGATAGCTGAACAGCTGAACTATAGTTGTGAGTTTTCCAACTGCTGCGAGTTTAAAATTGCGAGTCAGCAATCTAATGATCCTGAAACATCCTGAAACCTGTTGTGTAGCCAATTTTGTTTCCTTGTAGTTGCGGTAATTTAGGGGATACACCTCAACTGACTACCACCCAAAAATCCATGCAGGACATATTCATGGTAGTACATATTGTCTTATAGCATTTCTGTATATATCCTGTGTTGCTGGAGGGCTTGAAGCATTATAATTGTACCTTTCTTCGTTTATTCTCCGGAAATCAAACCTGGCAATAGGAAACTGAAATTAAACAACAATTTTGCCTGGGAACAACATCTATCAATGCAATAATTTTGGATATGTTCATTTCCAGCTTGGAATGCCAGATGACCAAAGTCATTGCATGTTCTTCTTGCTTGAAAAGTTGCAACATGAAGTGGTGTTGCTGGCAGAAACGGGTTTAACCATGTTTAACCCCTGCAAAAGGTGAAAGTTTATCCAGAAAATAGAAGGGAAGAACAACTGTGCACCTTCAATGCCCTCAGTGGGATGACTACGGAACTTAAGAACGATAATGAAAACGATAACAAGCATAAACGATAACAACATGATAATGAAAACGATAACTTTTGGCATCAAAAATGGTCCGTGTGAGACACTGCCCTTTTTTCCTTGTCTCTCGCTTTGCTTTCCTTTTCCTGTCTCTTCCTTTACTCTTCCATTTCCTTCTCCTTTCCTTTTTCCTGTCCTTTTTCCCTTCCTTTTGCCTTTCCTTTTTCGTTTCCTTTTCTGTTCCTTTTCCTTTCGTGTTCCTTTCCTTTTGATTTCGTTTGTTTGTACCTTTCCCTCTCCTTTTCCTTGTCCCTTTCCTTTTCCTTTCCCTTTCCTTTTCCTCTCCTTTTCCTATTCTTTCCTTTCCCTTCTCCTTTTCCTCGCTCATGTGAATTCTTTGATGTGAAGCCAGCGCTTGGAAAAACCATAAGAGGAAAAAAAAAAGATAACGTCTGGAAAAACCATTTGAAAGGGCTCGGGGTTTTTACAAACCCCCACATAAATTCAAACCCATTGGAATCCCAGAATAATCCCATTCAAATCCCCTTTGATAAATTCATTTTTCTCACCATTTTTCCTTGGTAAATCAACCGTCATGTTCTCCCCTCGTCAGGACTTCACGGTGCAGGTGCAGAACTTGGAACGGGACACGGAGTGCCCCTTCCAGGGGCCGGAGGGGGAGATCTGGGACTGCTGGGAAAAGGTGAAACTGACATTTATGGGATTTCATGGTGTCTTATTTTTTTTTCAACTGGTGGTTTAATGGTGTTTTTACTGTTGTGTTTTTAATGGTCTTTTAATGGAACTTAATGTGGATGTAATGGATTAACGAGATACATAACCAACTTGATTTGATATCAGTGAACTATAGTCCTTGATTCTTGATTTGCTACTTGGGGAATCCGCTACTTTGGGAGTCGATCAATGCAATATTGGTTTTAATTTTGTGGGGGTTCCTAAAACAAATCCCAGTATTGGATTCAGTGAGATCTATACGGGATTTAAGCATCAGTCGGCACCCGCATGGATTGTTGGCTGATCCCTTTTCAAGCGCTTAGTAGAAACTAACCCATCAGTACCTAGAGTAACATTTGGTTTTTGACATTGCTCAGGTGAAGAAAATGGATCTGGGATCAATTAGATTGGATTCTGCGGAATTTATGATGTACTTGGCCATCCAAAATGTGGATTTGACTTGGGAAACGGACTATCTGGGTAGTTTTTTAAACAATCAAACATGTCGGTCGAAAAGCAGCAAAAGGTGGTTTTGAACCATCAAAGGTTAGGGGAAACCAATGGTGATGGGTAGTTGCTCACGCCGTGACGGGTGGCCTGTGCGTTTTGGCACATTTTTGCGTTTTGTATATATATATATATATATATATATTTGGGGTGGGGTGGGGTGGGGTGTGGTGGGATATTAACGTCCTCACGACCGCGTCCTTGATATATACTACGTTGTCAACGCATGTTCCACCAACTGGGACGACCTTGATGATGCAACATGATGCTACGTTGACAAATGGGCATGACTTGGTGCAGGTGAATCATCAGGCAAAACAGTTCGCAGTAAATTTGAAGAAAGCACCCAAGAGGGGTCTTAGCAAAGTTGGAGGCATCCAGTGTCTTGACAGAGCTTGGGGAGTTTTGAAAAAATGGCTCCCAAAACAATTGAATACCAAAAAAAGGCCCAAAGGACATGGCGTAGTCAATCCTCACCTGAAGGAGAAGACGTTTCAATGGCTCTGGCGTCGCAATCTGAATGTGAACGAAAAGTTCACACCGACGCAAATGTGCCAGGAGCTTGGAAAGCTGTGCAAGTGGCGTGCTTGAGTGTGGAAAATGACGCTGACGCCGCCGCCCACAGGCCACCGGCCACGGCGTGACCTAGTTAGTTTAGTATACCCTCTGGTTATCATAGCCATGGTATAGATGGCCCATAGAAATAGATGGTTTACCTGGGTTTACCTATTAAAAAAAAGTGATTTTCCATAGCTATGTTAAACAACCAGATGGTATATGTTTGTTTGGTGGTATATTGTATACCTACCAGTTTTATTTCCCTTGTTGCTGAGTATCTCAGATTTGCCATGTCAAAGAAATTGACATCCCAGAAGTACGGGAAGTGTGTGTACACATACGTACGTGCAACATAGAATTGTTCTATAATGTTCTATACAGTTATACACCTCAAATTTTATTTTTGGCTCAGAAAACCTCATTGAACTGATAACCAACTAGTTGCAGGATCATCCCCATTGTAGCTGGGTCATAGGGCCACAAATGCATACTATGCACATGGAGCTGATATTTCTGGGAAACATTATACCGACCTCTCTGTTCTCCCTCGCTGGAATCATGGTTAATAAGAGGAATCATCCCAAAATGGCCCAACAGTTCAGGTCAGTGAATTATTGTAGTTTGCCCAGATATTTCTCCCATCAGCACGGACACCTCCGCCATTTCAATGCCGACATTCTCGGCCGTTTGGCTTGAGCTCAGTTAGTTTAACCAACTTTGATGCGGTACCCTTTGGTAGTTTAGCACCAGGAAAAATTGGTGAACATGAGCCATGTACTTCGCTGATTCCAAAAAATAAAATTTACCTATATGATGACAAAATAGTGGCATTCGATATAGCCATTTTAAATCGTCGGTAATTAATCCACCATTCGAGAATGAGGTGGTTTCAACATGTGTTTTCTTTGGGATGATGAGTTTCAGATATGAGCCACGGCAAAAAACCCGGCAATACTAAATATGTATTGGACGGACATTGGTTTATGGAAATTTATGGAAATTGTAAAAAAAAACACACGGTAAGCGCTGGGACCTTCCCAAATTAGCGATACCCCTCTTCAAGGTTATGTCATTGTATGTCTCCAATATCCACATTAGCGATACCCAAATTGGACGTTGAATTCTGTGAATTATATATATATATATATATAAACATGTAGCAGTTTCCTGCAAGCGATACCCCCCAAGTTTACCATATATCATTATTGTACAAACGTGTGGTAAGCCATGGGACCTTCCCACATTTGTGGATGTCCTTTCCGTGAACCCAGGGTTTTCGAGATTGCTCATATGTTAACTAAACATGGCTTATGTTTTTTGCCTACAGGGAAGATAAAGTCACGAAGCAGCTATGCGGGCTATGTGCAATCAAGTCACAACGATGAACAAATCGAATCTTATCTGATTTTATCTTATCTTATCTTATCTTACTATCTATCTATCTAATCTAATCTTATCTCATCTATTCTATTCTATCCAATCCAATCCAATCCATCCATCGAGCTATCTATCTATCTGTCTATCTATCTATCTATCGATCGATCTATCTATCTATCTATCTATCTATCTTGGTTAAGGCGATTGAAATCAAACGCTCCAGGGAAAAGATATGACACACCCTATTCCGCATATCTCTGTCGGAGTCGTCATGGCTACGCCAAAGAAGCAGAAACTGGAGAATGGCAATGCAGGCAGGGCACTGCATCGCTGCCAAAGATGCCCTAGAGGGCCATCAAACACGCAAGGTCTGGCCCCCTAGAAACCATATCTGATTGGTGGTTTCAAACGTTTTTTATTTTCCACAATATATGGGATAATCCTTCCCATTGACTGATATTTTTCAAGATGGTTAAAACCACCAACCAGATATTTAATGGGATTTATAGCTGACTTATAGCTAAGTTGGTTTATATCTCTCTGGAACAAACTAGGGTTTATGCATGTCTATGCCACTTATCACTATAGTTAGATGGGATTAAAAACTAACTTATAACTTGGGGGACCCAAATTGTAGCAATGGCATGGAACCTCCCAACTAGTTCGATGATGTTCTCACCAATTTCCCAGCATTTTGGTTCGGGGATTTCCCGGATTTGCCTGCCACTAGCTGGTCGACAAAGCCAATTAAGGCATGGAACCCCCCCAACAAAAAGACTCTGGTTGGTATATTTATTTGGAACATGTATATCTCTCTCTCTATATATATATATAATGATACATACATACATCTATAGATATATATATATATATATAATTTGGAACATGCATGGCTTTTATGACTTTCCATATCTTGGGAATGTCATCATCCCAACTGACGAACTCATATTTTTCAGAGAGGTAGGTATACCACGAACTAGTGAATTGTTGCACTTGCAATGCCATGTGATTTTTATTGGTTTGCATCTTATCTGTACAATGTCCGGGCATTCTTTTGGTACTGGTATTATGCTATTTGTTGATCAATATCGCGTCGTATCCCCTCATGTTCATATATAGTGCATGTTTGATTGTTGAAATCCATTTATTTTTAGTTGTTTTGATATTTGCATGAACCTCAACCATCCTCAACCTTTGTTTTGTATGCAACTGGCTTATTTATTCATGGAGGAACGGGTCATGTTGAATAGAAAACCTTTTCATTTCAGAGTAGAAGGTGGTGCAGCCCAGTTATGTTGGTTTATGTTCACCCATTTTGCTAAGTTTGATATATTTACCAAGGCTCAATTTCTAGACCAACTTAGCTCATTTGCTCTAATGTTGCTAAACCAATGCCATTTTTACCACCCATGACTGGGAATGGTTTATATATACCACCTATGAAAATGGTGATGACTGGGGGATGGTAAAAGTCCCGTGGAGTCGCCAGGCATTCCACCCATGGTCACTGGTGGTACAGTCGCTTGGTGGCACTTTTTGTTTGACGTTGGAAGCTGTTCGGGTGAAACATCCTCGAAAAAGATTGATTTTACATGTACATAGCCTTCAACGATTTATCGAAAAGAAGGCTGTAACTAGCAACATCTAGCAAATGTTGGAAAAACATTATTTTATATATATATATATATTGGTATTGCAACTTATTAAAGATTGAAGACTTAGGACAGCAAACATTCCCTTCGTTTCACCTGGCCCCCAAAGCCGTGCTGTCGCCGTAGGTCTCGTGGGAACGCCACGGCGCGCCGTTCTTCTCGATGGGTGAAGGCACGCTGCGAGTGCCCATGCAGATGCACCAAGCGCATCGGCAAAAGCTCTGCCAGGCCGGGGACGTTTGAAACTGAGTGATGTCGACTGGCTTAGTGAACCTTACAGGATGGGGGCCCCAAGATAGCCCTCAGTTGCCTTATAAGCGGCTGAATTCTATGGTTTACGGCAGATAAAACAATAGTTAATGGATGTTAATGGGGTTCATTAACCAACTTAAACTAATACAGCTATGGAAAACCACCATGTCTAATAGGTAATCAACTCTAAATGGCAATAGTTGGCAATAGTTATGTTAAATTACCAGAGGGTAGTAGACCTTATGTAAACCTTAATTACCATCCAGTACTTAAACATTGCAATGGAAAATACCGGGGATGTTCCCATCCAAACCTCCATGTGTACAGGATGGTGCCCCCCAGTGATGTTTGTTGGTTTATAAACCCCATTAATAGTTGATTTACCTATTAGACATGGTGTTTTCCCATATCTATGTTAGTTTAAGTTGGTTTAAAAACACATTAACACCCATCAACTAGTTCGTTATATCTACCATAAAATAAACATTAACATCCATCAACTAGTTCGTTATATCTACCATAAACCCCAGAATTCAGACACGTATAAGGCAACTGAACGCGAGCTCGACTGGGGGCACCATCCTGTAGGGATTTTCATGTTCCATTGCTCTGTTTGATTACTGGGATGTCATATTGATATTTCTAGGTCTATCGTTGGATTGTTTTAAAGGACAAATTTAACCGGAAACCATATTTTTACCATTAAATGTGGAGTTTCCGGTTTCAATTTTCCCATAAACCAATGCAATGAGTCTATATCTTTTTACGAGATACTTAGTGTTTCATCACACTTTTTTTTAGCAGATGTGGGTATGGATCAGATTTGGGGTACAACGGGAATAGATGTGTTGATACAAAAAAAATAACATACCCTTCGGTAATCAAACATGGCTAGCTGGAAAATGTCCCACCTATAGATGATTTCCAAATGGGTTTCTGAAAGGGTTTCCTATGGTTTTCTATTTCTGCGTACATATCATGGCATATCCCTCACAGCTCTGTCCATTGGGATATGTTTACGAGGTTGTGCCCCCTACTTAGATAAGTTGCTTGATATTCAGGTAACACCTCGTCTAACTAACTATGATTTCTTTGGTATATATATATGAGTATACATATATTCCTAAGAAGGTACTTGGATCCATAGGGATATATATTATAAATCCCGATAAATAACCATTTCTCGGGGTTAAAATCATTATTTTCCTATGGTCTTCCTATGGTTTTCTTAGGGTTTCCTATGGTTTTCTCCTAGGGTTTCCTATGGTTTTCCCAGAGTTTCCTATGGTTTTCCTAGGGTTTCCTATGGTTTTCCTAGGGTTTCCTATGGTTTTCCTAGGGTTTTCCCATGGTTTATACCAACAAATCTCACTAAGGGCCCCGGGGCACCACCTCAGTAGATTCTGGAGGCGCTGCGCGCGCGTGGCCTCGAAGGTGACGCGGTGGTTCTGCTGCAGGGCGGCGAGGAGCTCAGCGTCTACGACACGGAGCCGGGTGGGATCGAGAGATCACAGGCTTCATCATGAGTTATGGTATGAAATCATGGTTAATGTCAACCCTGGATTAATAAACCCCTAGGCTGTTTAATTGGGAGGGTACCATTTAAGTATCATATTATGACTATTGGAGGGGTACCCCCCTAATTAATAAACCAGCATTTGTTAATCCGGGGTTGACATTATATAATGATGGTTAATGATGATTGATGATGATTACATCATCTGGTTAATATGATTATATGTATAATTGTATATATATATATATGTGTATGTATGTGTAGATATAACGAACTAGCTCATGGGGATTAGAATCTGGTTGTTGGTGACTGGAACCATGGATTTTTTCTGACTTTCCAATACTATTGGGAATGTCATCATCCCAACTGACGAACTCATATGTTTCAGAGGTGTTGAAACCACCAACCAGTATATGAATGTGATTGGTATACAGTGATATGTATGTATGTATATATATATATATATGTGTGTGTATGATTGTTATATATATATATATATATGTATTTTGATATATGTTGTTTTTTTGAATATATTGACATATTGTCAGCATGGTATTGTTCATGTCAGGATTTCAATATATTCTTGGCTATACCCCTATGATGGTTAAGCCCAGTATATTCCAATTATCCCGGCTAAGTTTTTTTAAAGGGTGTATACAGTGTATAGTATATATATATATATGTGACATTGGACATGTTGTTGAAATCAAAGTTGAGCCCCAAGAAAAAGACGAGGTTAGAGGCATCAACTGCAACTATACCCTCTGGTAAACACATTAACATAGCTGTGGAACATCATCATGTTTCATTGGCAAATTGAGTATCAAATGCCATGTTCAATAGCTATGCTGGCATTTGACTCTCATGATCACGGGAGTGACATCTGACATTTGAAGACTGCAATCGCATTTGCGGGTTCAAATTTCACAGATTGCGAGCAGGAAGCAAAAACGAAAATTAATCGGTGAACCATCTATAAATGGATCATGTTCAATAGCTATATTAAGTTGCCAGAGGGTAGGTAGATGCTCAAAGTACTTGTAGAAACGGGTGTTGCCCATGCATGAAAAATGACTTTTTGTGTATTGTTTTTATTCATTTTGACGTCAACATCGGGTGTCTACGTACATGTGAAATGTGTTTGTTCATGTTGGACTCGTTCATGGGTACCATGGTACGGATTTGGTCCCTTCACTGCAGGACACCAATTGGGATTTCAAGCAGGACCTGGCACGATTCGTGGGGAAAGATTTGGTGGGTTGAATCTACCTCTTACTGTGTGCGGTACGCCGCTACGCTTTCCATGCTTTGCTCTTTGTTTCCGTCTACATACATAAATCTATTTATATATACATACAAACATAGATTGTATATACATACAAACATAGATTGTAGTTGTATTACATTAACCTGAGAATATGCTTATTTCGGCTCAGCTTTTTTTTTGCGATTTGCAATCGCAAATTAACCCTGTCAATTCATCCTCATGTCTCCAGGATTTGCACAGGTGTACTTTACTTGCACATCCAGCCGACAAAAAAAATGCTACAGGATGGTGCTCACCAGTGATGTTTGTTGGTTTATAAACCCCATTAACTAGTTCGTTATACCTACCATAAACCATAGAATTCAGCCACGTATATCTGAAGTGTTTTTGTAGCCTTTCCCACAGGATCTACAGACTTTCGTCAGATCAATGGGAATTCCAGGATCCGATTTATTGGAGCTAGCTACCATATATGTTAGGCCTAATTTTCAGGGAATATCCCCATAAAATATGGCCAAACATATGGTACGAACGTACCTCAGATTTTGCACCGGTGTGCTGTCAGGAGAGTAATTTCCAATATCTCTTTGGAGTCAAGGAACCCGGGTGCTTTGCTGCTTTGCAGCTCAGTTACATTCGATTCGAGTGCTGGGATTTTCTGAGGAAACAACACCTCAGTACCTGGCTGTGCATCAAATTTTCGGTTGCGGGTAGTTTAACACAAGTCATAACCATGCCTGGTTGGTGGTTTGGAACATTTTTTCTTTTTCCATATATTATGAATAATAATCCTAACTGACTTTCATATTTTTCAGAGGGGTAGGTCAACCACCAACCAGTATATGTATTTGATTGGTGGACAGTGATATGTACATATATAATCATATATATATATGTGTGTTTCTATATATATATATAGTGATATATGTTGTTTTTTAATATATTGACATGGTTTCAACATGCCAGTGTTCATGTCAGGATTTCTGAGTATGTCGATCTTGGGATCCACGATTTGTCAAAATTGGATGAAGATCCCCCATGGGTTGGTGAGATCAAATTGGGAATTTGGATCTTGCTGACAGTCTGACATTTTTTTGGGGCAAAAGCCTGAAATTCCCATGGTTTTCAGAGAAATTTTAGGGCAAAAGCCTGCAATTACCATAGAAAAGCCTTGAAATCATCTGTCCCATGGCACACTTACCAGAAATTATGGGTTTTCTATGCTTTTCTCAATTTTTCAGACACGCCCTTGGCATTAAGGCGGGTGAGGGACGCACATGGCGTGCTTTGTATCCCAAGGAGGGGAAGCTTTCTCGGCGGGACAGGGAGATGGTTTAACGGTTTGCGTTTGCTATTGAAAATGGCCAATTTAGTTCGTTGATTTACCTATTAAAAATGATGATTTTCCACAGTTTTTTGTATGTTTACCAGAGGGTTCTGTAGAGCAGTGGATAGTGTGGCAGAAATTGCATCAATCCAGGCATCGCAATTCTTCCAAGCTGAGTTTTCATTCAATATCGCCATCGAAGCCAACATACAGGATGGGGCCCCCAGTCGAGATCGCGTTCAGTTGCCTTATTTTAGCTGAATTCTATATGGTTTATGGTAGATATAACGAACTAGTTAATGGATGTTGATGGGGTTTATAAACCAACGTTCACATAACTGGGGGGCACCATCCTGTAGAAACTCATCACCTTTTCTAATGGCTACAGTTATGGCCATGGTTATTAGATGTTAATGGGGATTATAATCTGGTTGGTGGTTTGGAACATTTTTATGTTTCCATTCAGTTGGGAACACTCATCCTAACTGACTTTCATATTTTTCAGAAGGGGTGGCTCAACCAACAACCAGATAACCATGCTAATTTCTATACCTCATATCATATATGAACTTTATAACCAGGGATATGATCTAGTCACCTAACTAGTCACCTAGTTCACCCTAGTTATAAGTGGATGAACAATGGGATGGAGCCTAGTCTTCAGAGATCTGGTTGGACGAAAGCTGGAAATCATGGGGAAATTTGCCCCTTTAAAGACTTATGGGCAAACTAGGGAATGGCATGATGGGGGAACTGGGGAACTTATGGGGAACCTGTATACAAGTAATTATGTATATACACAATATATCTATATATATATACATAGATAGATATATATATATATATAGATATATATATATATATAGATATATACACGATCCTGGAAACACGTTATTTTCTCTCATTTTGGAGCCTCTACGAGAGTGATCACTCGAGAGTGACCGAATGTTCGATCAGCTCACCAAGCTGGGTGGCCATTGAAGCTGGTGACGTTTCATAGGTTTAATTACAGCTTACATGGTGATTTTAATGGTGATTTTAATGGATTTTACTTGTGATTTAATGGGATTTACATGGTAATTTTTAATGGGATTTATATGGTGATTTTAATGGATTTTAATGGTGATTTAATATGATTTACATGGTGGTTTAATGGATTTTAATGGGATTTTAATGGTGATTTAATGGGATTTGATTGGGATATACCCTCCGTTAATTTAACGGTGTTTGCTATTGAACATGGTCATAGAAATAGTGGATTTACCCGTCCGTTGAACATGGTAATTGTCCATAGTTGTTCGTATGTTTACCAGAGGGTATCTAACCTGGGAATGGAACATCCTGATTGAACTTTCGGGCAGACTGAGGATTTTCCACCAGCTTCGGCTGGGCGCTGGTGGCTGATCGTTCGTAGCCTTTGTTTTTGTTTCGTGGAAAACGTCGAAGTAATGTTTTGTAATATATATTATCACACAATCAGAGGTATTATTTTCTAAATTACCAAGGACCCTAGAATCAAATTCCAAAGGCCCCGAAAATCGGCTGCAAAACCTTAACTATTCCATTCCCAGCATTTCTTCATATTTCTTCGGACTGCCAGTAGCTGTTCCAAGAATTTTCATCAGGTGTCCCCATGTTTTTGCGGAACTCCGGGGGATCAGGTCTGAGTCATTACAGTAGTATACAATGTGAGGCCCCCGTTCGGATAGCTAAGTTGGTGAACATAATTCCAATAACTATGGTTTATGGTACTTATAACTATAGTTACTGGGGCTTATAAACCAACTTATAACTGGGGGGCCTCACATTGTACGTATGTTTATTCATATTTAGCATAATCATGGGTGAATGGCTACCCGGCTACCCTTTGGGAAATTCTTACCCGGTTGGCCCATTCAGTTCGAGTGGTGGGATGAAAGAACTTCATGAGGCAACTTCTAAGGAGGAATAGATAACCACCAACCACCAACCATGCTAATTTCTATACCTCATATCATATATGAACTTTATGAGTTCGAGTTTAGAGTTTATCTTGGGGAATCTTGGTGACAAATATATCACCTATCGATGAGGTTTTCACGTTTTTAGCATGTCTGAGCCATACTTATAATTGCTACGGGCTTGAAAACATGGCTATACTGGTTGGTGGTGACTGGAACCATGGAATTTTATGACTTTCCAATAATACTGGGAATTTCATCACCCCAACTGACGAACTCATATGTTTCAGAGGGGTTCAATCCACCAACCAGTTGCTAAGGGCTTAATATGCTTTAACATTCACTGTTTTATGGTTTCTGGATGGTTTTGGTTTCACCATTCGTCCAGGATGGAAAAGATGTACGAGGCTTGGTGTGGCCCCGTGAAACCTCCTGCCTGGTTTGCGAAGGCCTATGGTGTCGAGGCTGGGAGAAGCGATACGTGATGTTTGTGAAGATAGATTTAGATTCATTGACATCCAACGTTGATTTTTGTTGATGCATTTCATTTTATGTTGGTTCACACAGATTGAAACTTGCTGATACTTTTTGAAATTCTATGCTAGCATTCCAATCAACCTTTTGCTGTTAAAAAACATTTTTTCTATGTTGATACATCCTTTTACATGGATAAACTATGTTGATATTCTATGCCTGTAAAACGATCAACATAAACTCCGTTTGCTTTTCATGGTTTTCTTTACGTTTCTTGGTTCCGATAAGGGCCTCCAGAGAGCGTCATCGAATCAGTAGGCAGCACATGTGGACGAGCTGTCAGAAGTCTTGGAGAAATTGGGCGCCAAGGATTGGGATTGGACCTGTTTGGGCGTTGGATTTCTGGGTGTATAGTATTGGATGTATTACCATCTGGTTATTTAACATAGCCATGGAAAATCACCATTTTTAATAGGTAAACCATATATTTCTATGGGCCATTTCCGATGGCTATGTTAAATAACCAGAGGGTGTATATATATATTATATTTATATTATATATATTTTATATGTGTAATATATTATAGTAATTTTATATAACAGTTATTGGGATATATACTATCCTGTTCATTCAGATTTGAATATGTACACTTCATAGATTATCATTTTTCTTGTGGAATCATCGACAAAAAAGAAGCAACACCGGCAACATCGGTTGACAGCCACCCCCACGGGGACCCGGGGACCGTGGTGACCTCACTATAAGCCCATTGGGATGAGATGAACGAAACAAGAAATAGCTATAGGAGGTTGGATAAGATTGGTGACTGTATGTAAATGATGAATATGTAAACAGTGAATTTCGTTTAATGATAGTAATTGGTATATTATATATTTCACCGTTATTCATTGAGTAAACACATTGGAAAAGTAGCTGTAATTTGTGTCTTGGTCGGGTCTTGCAATGATTAGGTTAGTTCAAGCAAGGCATTCCCAACTGGAACAGGTGTTCAACCCTCCAACATAACTCATGGGGACAATTGCAACCTCCAACTTACATAACTTATGGGTTTTTCACCATGGTTATACCTCAAGTTGTAGCCATTTGGTTGGTGATTTGGAACATTAATTTTATGTTTCAATATCTTGGGAATGTCATCAGCCCATCTGACTTTCACTCCATCATTTTTCAGAGGGGTAGGGCTCAACCACCAACCAGCCATGTTCACCTCATGCGCCATGGCGGCCATGGCGAGGAGTTGCTGGTGTTGCAAGGTGACCCAAACCGTGACTCGGGGTTGCAGCTCGCGGAGCCCAGCTTTCAGGGCAAGGACGGGAGTGACGGGAGGGCGTTTTCTCTTGCCGAAAAAGGCCCGATTTTTGTTGCGCACTGAGAAGTTCAGGGGTTTTGGAAATTCGAGAAGTCGCGGATCCATTTTTTTTGGAATGATATAACACCATTTATAACGTTTAAAAACTGGTTGCTTCCATTTTTTTTGGAATGATATCACACCATTTATAACATTTAAAAACTATTTGCTCCCATTTTTTGGGAATGATATAACACATGTTTTAACTAACATTTTAAAATTATTTACTCCCATTTTTTGGAATGATAAAACCATTTATAACTAGATCTTTATTAAAAGTGGTGGCCAAAACTGTGGGAAAAATCTACGGGATATATCTGGATCCTCTGTCCCACTGATATTTTCTTGGGTCAAACACAGTGACACGCCGAGCCGGTTTCTTTTATAATCCCAGTCGCGCGAGGAGAAGTTCAAAGTGAGCACTCAAGGTGCGAGTCTGACACTGATTACATAAGGAAATCCCAAACCGAAG